TCACAATGACGGTAGGGGTTAAAGCAACGTCGCCCTTTAAGGTGAATGTCCCCTTTGGGCATACCTGTGTAGGCACCCATTATCCCCTTACCCTGCTGGCAGAATGCACATTTTCCATATTTCAAAAAATACGTTTCTGATGTCAGCTTCGTTTGCCTCAAAGGGGGACTTTTTCCTCAACTTTATCCGGTTATAATATCGAGAAACGTCCCCCGTCCACACGACGCGGGAAAAAAACGTCAAAACAAAATTTTAAAAAGGTTAAACCCAAACGATTCTTTAAACTGTCGCGCAAGCTTTTTTCAAAAATTTCTTATGCGTTTTCCTTTCCCGCGTCCCCCATACAATTCCCATTTTTGTATGCCGTATGTCCCCCCTGATTATTTTGGGTAAGAGTATTTAAAAATGAACTAGGTGTAATCGCAAAATCGAAACATTTCCCAATCCCAAATAGTATTAACGCGCCCTGCGTTAAAAAAACCCGCCATTTAACACCATTTAAATTTCCCCCCAGCGGTGTCAACAGACACACAAAAACCTCCTTTTAAACTGCTTTTTCAGGGGGCGTCAGGGGGGGGGTTTCTCCCAAAACCCCAAGAGGATGCAAAACAATGTTTTAAAAAAAAAAAAAAAAAAAAAAAAAAAAAAAAAAAAAATTTTTTTTATTATAATCAGGGTAAGTGCTAAAATAAAATACACTGTTTAAACCCTAAGAACGGGGTTTTCACCACTCGATATTTTCCCAAAAAATTGCATCTTTTAACACAGATGTAAACCCCTGTCCCCCTTTTCCCCAAAACAAACGCTGTATGCAACTGCTCCCCAATTTGCCTTCAGGTCTTTTTAAAAGGCTCGAGTTTGGTTTTAAAAACCCCTCAAAAAAAACTGTTGAGGCTCGGCTTCAAAAAAAAAGGGGGAAACTGGGATGTACTGCCTTTTGCAAACAACAGTACCCACATTTTTTGGTTTAAAATTGCTCCTCTCCTTCTCTATATAAAAACTCCTTTCTAGAAATTTGGTTTGGGCTGCTTCCTGGTTTGTTCAAGTT